TAGTGGGTGTAAATCGCAAGTATTAGTTGTAATGGTGGGTGTAAATCGCAAGTATTAGTTGTAATAGTGGGTGTAAATCGCAAGTATTAGTTGTATCAGTGGGTATAAATCGCAAGTATCAGTTGTATCAGTGGGTATTAATCGCAACTATTAGTTGTAATAGTGGGTGTAAATCGCAAGTATTAGTTGTAATGGTGGGTGTAAATCGCAAGTATTAGTTGTATCAGTGGGTATTAATCGCAAGTATTAGTTGTATTAGTGGGTAATAATCGCAAGTATTAGTTGTAATAGTGGGTATACATCACAAGTGTTAGTTGTGTATTAGTGGGTATTAATCGTGGCAATTATTCACGTAATTATATGGTGTTAGGATAGTGTACGGTCTGTGTAGTGCGTGGGTGTGCGTGTGTTGTGTACAAGTGTGTGTGCGTGTGTTGTGTACAAGTGTGTGTGCGTGTGTTGTGTACAAGTGTGTGTGCGTGGGTGTGCGTGTGTTGTGTACAAGTGTGTGTGCGTGTGTTGTGTACAAGTGTGTGTGCGTGGGTGTGCGTGTTTTGTGTGCCGGTGCAACCTTGTTGAAAAAAATGAGTGTGCATATCTATAACAAGAGTTTGTCCTACGAACAGCACGTACACTCATCTAATCTTGAACACAGAAGTGCAAACCACTCCTCAATTGCCGCACTACACTTGTCGATGCATAGTATCTGATCTTCTCCTGTTTGTGCTACGTTGTCAAGTACGTACTCAAGTATGTATGTGCTAAGTAGCTGAACCAGCCATCCAAGCACCAGACCCCCTCTGCAGATCAGGTGTCTCCGAAGTGGGTATGGATCCACCATAGGCCATTAATCTACCATATAGGCTACATACTGTAAGTGTATGGGGTGTGAGTAAGCCATTCATGCTACACCATAGGCCATCCATCTACCATTTAGATTACATGCTATAAGTGTATGGGGTGTGTATAAACCGTTCATGCTACACCATAGGCCATGCATCTACCATATAGGCTACATGCTGTAAGTGTACGGGGTGTGTGTAAACCATGCATGTTACGTTCCCAATTTCGACATACCGGATAGAGTTGCGCAGTGTCCGTTGACACGTAAGGGCCACCTGCATGGTAAAGCTGGCCTCATACACCACCTCGTCAGTACCCGTGTCCGCTTCTCTCTCTAAACCAATCTTACGCAGACCTACGCGTACAAATAGGGTGCGTGTGCGCACGTGTGTGTGTACAGATAAATGAGTGCTGTGTTGGCCTATAGGTTGAGTACTGAATATATACGTATAGGTTGAGTACTGAATATATATGTATAGGTTACGTCGTGTTCGATCGTTCAAGTGTTTAATCAACGGCATCTACCATCCCCACTCACCTGATTAGACTTCTTAAACCCTTAAGTTCATTGGTGCAGTGTATGTACGTACGTGTTTTGCACATCTATGTTTTTATGTGCGCGTCTGTCTGTGTGTGTGTGTGTGTGTGTGTGTGTGTGTTACAAGGCTGCATCCAAAGTATACCACCGTTCCTACACTTGCGTGTGCAGCATCTCCACCACCCACATGCGCATATACAACACCACCACTGCCACCCACGTACCTGCGTCATCGAATCGGTCTGAGAAGAGAGTCTCTTGGCGCTGCATGGCCAACTGGTGTGACATGGAACGACATTCGTCCGATGACGTGTACAGTGAAGCAAGTGACACGTAATCGTCATCCTCGTCACCTGTAGGGTGAATGCAGTACGTAGTGTGTGTGTATATCTCGGTCGTGGTGCGTGTGGTTTGGCTACAGCTGTTGCTGTGGTGCGTATGATGTATCGCTGATATGTATTACATTACAGTGCGCACGAAACAGTGACGTT